TCTTAGAGTTGTTGCCCTAAGGTGTTCTTGTATTTTGGAAACAATTGCCCTAGGAAAATTCAGCAAATCAAAGTGGCTTTGAAATCAGGTAAAGAAAGGTTAAAACTGAATTTATTACTATTGTTTCTTCTGCCTACTCAGGAGAAATCATTTTAAGACAGGGTTGTTCACAAGACTGCCATCAGTCCCATGTAGTAAATTCAGTTTCCAGAGGAGGAATCTGAAGTGCCTGGAGGACATCCTTGGTTAAGTGACCTTTCCTAGCTCTCCTAGCATATTTTCCTTTTGCGTCACCATGTGGTTTATGAGTGCCAAAGTACTTGTTATCCCTAGCAAGTAGACACGGTGATAAAACAAAATTGCTTACTGGAAGCAGGGATGTACTGCTTGCTCACAGGAATGTTGCCCTTTAATGAATGACATAATTTATGTAATTTTGTTCATTTTGTCTATTCGTATAATCCTCAAATTGAAACTGTCTTATCATAAATTTGCTGCTGGAAAAGAGGATGTATTTTAAGCATTTCCTAGTTGCCATCGAGTCTCATGTGAGTGTCTGTTTCAGGCTCAGAAAGAGGCCAGAGAAGCAGAAATGAGCAGGAAGGAGTTGGGGCTTGACGAAGGAGTAGATAACTTGAAAGCAGTCATTCAGGTAAACTCGGCAGGTTGTCACTACTTCTCTCATGTTCTGATTCCTACTGCTAGTATTTTCTTTGGAGTGTATGTGTGGTAATATGGGTATTTTGTTTTCTTTTAAGATGTAACTTACATACCATCTATTTGTCCTTTTAAAGAGTACAATTCAGTGGTTTTTAATATATTCACAACCATCAACACTAATTCTAGAACATTTCACCACTCCAAAAAGAAACCTCATACCCATCAGTAGTCATTCTCTATTCTCGCCTTCTCCCAGCCCCTGGCAACCACTAAGTACTTCCTGTTTCTATGGTTTGAAAGCTTGTGTTTTGACTTCTCAAACAGAGCAGACAAAAGGATCGGCAAAAGGAAATGGACAATTTTCTGGCTCAGATGGAAGCAAAGTACTGCAAACCTTCCAAAGGAGGAGGGAAAAAAACAGCTCTCAAGAAAGAAAAGAAATAATGGAATTTTTCTCTTCAAAGGACCTTAAGTGTTAATTGGTGCCATTGTAGGCAAGGTGTGGGCAAAAGTCAACCCAACCCTTAGAGGAGTTGTCTTTCCAGCCTAAATTATTCAGATTGACTACACCAAGAAGAATCTCTCAACTTGATTTTAGTATTTCCTAGAAATCACTTGACACTGTGTGAGTCTCCTGTGAAGGAATTTGATGGTGATAGTTGGAAGGGCAGTATAATTTGTGACAGCACTTGCTTCCTTGGATCTTCTGTACATGGGATTCTGTCTAGAACAGGGGTCTCTCCATACTGTTTTCTGTGATGTGCATATCTATCAGAATTGTTACTCTGCCTGGCTAGAACACTTTCAAAACACTTTGCTGAACAGCTGTCTTCCAAATAACTGCCAATTTACATTTGGTCTTAATGATCCTAAATAGAGCCTTTTTGTTTTATTCAGTAAGGTTCTGTGCTCTTTGTTTGAAGTATAGGAAAAATAGGTGTTCAAATTACTTCAAGCATTTTTCTAAGACTTGTATGTGATTAAGATAAAATGATTGTTAAGTCTGGGGGCTTTTTAAATGATCCCAGTGATCATTTAAAATGGGATCTAGAAAAAGAATATGTTCTTTAGGATAGAGAGGAGGGAAGAAAAATAGTCCTAGGCAGTGTTATAATAGACAGCCCAGTTTAAGTAGCATAAAGAGATAGGTGTTATAGTCTTGCCTCTAACTGCTGAATGTCCTTAGTCAGGTCACTGAGCTTGCCTGAATTTGTTTCCTCATTTATAAAAGAGTGAGATCCAAATTCATCAGATTGTATACCTTAAATATGTCCAGTTTTTTTGTAAAAGAAGAAAATTTGCACTCACTTTGAGTGAATACACACATACAAAGGGTGAGAGAATTAGGATAAATGGCTTCTTAGAGGCCCCCTTCTGACTCTTTAATTTTGAAAGGCAAACCATACTGATCCAATCATTTGTTATATTACACTTACTGTATTGGTTTGTGAGAACAATACAGAGATTTTCACTTATATTTAGATGAGGTGGTATATGTTCATTAGAATATATATACAGAATTTTTTTAGGAGACCGTTCAACTTAAAATCTCTGATTTGTGGGCTAATGTTTTAACATACTATATGCATAAAACAAGCCTTCTCTTGCTATTGAGCTTTATGTATCATAATTTATCTAAGGTAAGCACATGACACATTTTCAGTTTGTGATTACAAGCAGGTTAAAAAATACTCTTCAATTGTATTAAAAATATAATTTAATGTGGGTTGTCTGAAGCATCTGTCTTTGTATAACAGCATTACAACACCTTGGTATGATAAAAAGTTATCCCAATTTATGAACATTTGAATTTATCCACTCTGAAAATTAACAATTACATCTAAAACTGGTATGATAATCAAGATTAGTATTCAGTGAAATTTAAATAAAATAAATTTAAGCCATAGTTAAAACCATTGCTGCATTCATGAGTGCCCTCAGGAAAAGGCCTGTG